GTGGTGGGTCATGTACGGTGTCCGGCACAGTGACGTCAGTCCCAACATCTGACCTGGATACATTTTTGGTATAATTTCACTGCAATCATGTTCGCAATTCATTTCAAGGTCACAACACAGAGAAAACAGCATTATGACGTTCATCACTGTATTGAGGGACGGTGGTTTAGGTTTGTGTGGCGAACTACGATCCCCCAACGGCCGACGCTCACAATTTGGATCCTGCCTTTAACAAAAAGAAATATTATGGTTATATAATTTTTCAAATGTTTTTAATTCGGTATTTTTTCCTATATTTTTCCAAAATTCAACCACTATATTTCCCTAAAAATAAAAAAAACTACTGGTTTTATGTATTTCCGCATTAAACCTATAGTCAATTCATGTTCTAGGGCCAATTGGTTTAGCTGTGCATTAACTGTGCATTTGCATTAGCTGTGCAAATTTTGTGTTTCAACCAATCAAATCCATGGATTCACACCATCAATATACTGGTATAATGTAATCGAAATATACTCATCTATCTGTGTATAAAATTGATAGTTGAGTCAACAATAGGATGAGTATAGTGAATATATACATTTGCGTTTGGTACTTAATTTTTCATACCTTAAGTATTACCTTAATGGTGATAATTTGTACTTGTGGTGGGTTTACTATATGTTCAGCTCTTTTCTAAAAAAAGGAATTATAAGCTGAAGGTCTCATTTCAAATTATTATACACAGCCAAACTCAATCATAAAACATGTATGCAATTATGAATCAGTATCTCGTATTGGCTTTTTTATCGTCATACCGGTGGAGTAATCGGGCTAATGCGTTAGGTATTGTTGTTTGTGTGCACTGATGTATCTGTTACAAAACAAAACAAAAAAACAACAACATTAGCCATAATACATATCGAAAATTACCGTACAGAAGATTTGGAAAGAATCACACACTGAATGTATCCACTGTGTTCTAATTTGTTATTTATTTTATTATGACCACATGGTGGTATTGCGTTGTGACTTCATTTGAAATCCCACGCACCTCAGATTCTATTAAAGCTAATATTTAGGTTTATACTTATCTAACAATATGCAGTAGTCAAGTCCAGTGTGGCTACTCTATAACACTGTTTTTTGTTCTGTTTTTAGCATCTTGTGGTTATACCAATGCAACCCTACTATTTGCCTCTTAATTATTCAACACTGGCAGATAAACTGAAAGAGCAAGGATACATGAATCATATAGTTGGAAAGTAAGTGAGAGATGAATATTGTTGAGCATGTATCTATTTCAGCAATATATCTGTGTGTAAAAAAACAATAACATATACTTCGCATATAAATGCATTAACATTTTACGAAAAGTGATACTGCATATTACCACCGCAAACATATTTCCTGTAATAATGTTTACTCTTGAAATACAACAGCTGACATTGAAACGTAAAATCATGATGGTAAGTGTTCATTTGAGCTGCTCGCCTATAGCTGTTCTTCTACGTCCCTTGCTGTTTAGATTCACGTATAGTTATTTGTTATATTGCACTGAAAATAAGTAGAGCTATGGTTCAAGTTAGGCATGGGTTGGGCAACTCAGGGAACTCTTTCTGTAGCACGACTATATGGGAATATCATATTGGATTGCAATATTAACATGACATGAATTGTTTTGCTCTTGTGTTGAATTGTTAGTACGTCCTGGTTGTTCTGTAATTTTATTCATTGATCATTTGCACGCATAACAATGTGAAAAAATATTGCCTGATATCAATCGATGAAATATATTGATTCATGTTTAGATAAGTATTAAAAATACCGCCACTGTCGTCAAGCTTACGAGCAATAAATGCAACCATTATCACTTGTAGAACAGTTTGATCTCATCTCTTAGCTTTTTACTCACAGTTTATTTATTTATTTATTTATTTATTTATTTATTTATTTATTTATTTATTTATTTATTTATTTATTTATTTATTTATTTATTTATTTATTTATTTATTTATTTATTTATTTATTTATTTATTTATTTATTTATTTATTTATTTATTTATTTATTTATTTATTTATTTATTTATTTATTTATTTAATTACAGATGGCATCTCGGGGACTGCAGTTGGTCAATGACACCAATGTGGCGTGGATTTGATTCGCATTATGGATGCTACCAAGGAGCTACATCTGATTTTGAATCGCACGTTCTTACTATACCATGTAAGTGAAACGTTGTGTTATAATATTGTGGCTCAAACTTTTTGTAATACTTGGAAGTTGCTTGGAATGGAAGAATTGTCAAGTCCAGCAAAATTATCGAATCGATTATAGCTGTCTATCGGTGTATGAGGAATTTATAAACACGCACAAACAATTTAATTGGGCTAAGAAGTCGCCTCAATAACTCAAATCTGTTCAAATGCCAGTAGTGTGTTCGGTAGGCGCACGTACAGTGACTAGAATACACACGCAGGTTTAATGCCCGACTCCACAGACAATCATATATAGAGAGACCAATTGTTATGACCTATCCAGTGGCAGCAGTGACACACACCTGGATGGGACTTATATAAAAACAACTACAACTTCTAATTTTCATACTTGTTCTCTGTGTGTAACACATGGGTGGCGTTAGATTCAATACTTGAGAGCGTACTAATATGCTTTTACAATATGAAGAACATATTTTGAATCGCAACATACTACAATAATTATATGTTTACCTCGTAAAACCTTTGCCACATGATGAAATAAACAAACATGACTTTCAGGCCAACTTTTAGGACTAGCGGAATAATATACGTTTTTATTTCTTATATCTCACTCGAATAGGTTCGACGCTGTGTTAGTCTGACGAATGTCAATAATTGTATGCAACCGTTTGATATGCATTCAAGTTTGTAATCACCATATATTTATTACAGTTCAAGGCCCACCATTAGCTACGGGTATCGATATGAGAGATAATACAGGAGTGGTTACACACCAGAACGGAACACATAACACGGTATGAAGGAAATGTTATTTTATAAACGCGTGAACTCGGGTGGCAGATTCCTTTCATTTCTAAAAAAACAACGTTTACAAGCTTATATCATTCTCAATTATTTTGTACTACAGTTGTTATTTTCAGAAAGAGCAGAGCGGATTGTTAGAAATCACAATCCGGAATTTCCATTGTTCCTCTATGTTCCGTTTATGGCGCCACACTTTCCTCTACAGGTACGTATGGATAAGTATCAATTGATTCTTACATTGGCTCATCTGAAAATCATAGAACAGCATTCACATATGACCACTACACAAACTGAACTCGCAATATACATTAATATAAAGTTATTACCAAAACATTCATTCACAACAAATGACTTATCAGTATGTTGGGTCACATGATGTTGTAACAACCAGTTGGTACAAATTAAAATGTTTTGACTTAAAATATTCCAAAAGTAAGAATCGCGCAGAATATAATAAATATTTTTTTTCTTCTCAGGCGCCAAAAGGGTTTGAAAACACCGTTGAAGTGGATGATGCAGATCGGCGTACATTTGCAGGCAAGTTGTGTTAGTAATATCGTCTCACAATAACATTCTCCCAAGGAACGCCCGCAAACATGTGAAATCTGAACGTAGTCCGGTAACAAATCACATACATGTACTGATATGGAAGTTATGAAATCTTTATCATCACAGTGTGACGTCACACCTAGATAGTAACGTGGACTCGTGTATGTTATTCGTTTACAATAGAATTATTTAATTCCCTGTTATATTTTAGGAATGATGGCAGCCATGGACCAAGGTGTGGGTAACATCACACAGGCTTTGAAAGATAAGGGTATGTGGGACGACACAATATTCGTGTTCCTCAGTGATGTAAGTATGAGTGTCATTTTACATTTCAGTATTTGAACATAACAAACTGACAATATGTTTGCAAGGTTCAATCTTGATTTGGTATTGTTCGTCTTAGAATGGCGGTGATGCCGGTTTTGCAGGGTCTAACTACCCATTTAGGGGAAACAAAGCTACCATGTGGGAAGGCGGTGTCAAAGTGCCTGGATTCATCCATGGTAGTATGTTGAAAAATCCCGGATCTGTAAACAATGAGTGAGTGGGTTTACTGTGCAATATTACACACGACACAATGTTGATCCAG